GGCACAGGTGGTTTACAGTACAACAGGTGGAGACATCCAGGCATAGGATGTCAAGGAACCATTCCTAGAAGACTCTAGATTTAAGTCTCAGATGACAGATGCGGTTAGCCAGGTGAAGCGAACTTGAAAGCCACAGGATTTTAAGTGCAGGAAACAGCATGGGCAAAGGAAAAAGGGAGCAGGTAAGCAGTCCAACATGACTAATTCTTAAAAAACAAACAGATTAATGGTGAGAGATAAATCTGGAAAGAAAAGTAGACATCTCAAAGGAACAAAGGGTGCTTTGACCAAAAAGACCTGCAAATTTTCCAGATTTTTTTCATTCACCAAACTATTAGATGCAGTTGTTCAAGTATGTTAAAAGAATAAGAATTACTGGACTTCATGTTAAAATAAACAAATTCTTAGAGTCCAATACAGATTCATCAAATTGAACCAACTGAGGTATAACAAGTATCTCAGTGATTGTTATTATCTGACAAGTTTAGAAAACACTGGTAGGTGAGAATATCCATGACTGATATCTTTAGCCAAAATGTGACCTACCTGAGAAAAAGCGAACAGCCCAAATCAAAAACTTCATCTTTGAATTTATTTCTATAGTGACAAATAGTAAATAAAATATATGATAATCTTAATTGTGCCATGAACCTATTATGAGATAATAGTTTACTTTTCTTGACAAGTCGAATAGTTGTATTTCCTTGGGAGCATCTAGTAGAACAAAGAAAGTTCATAACCTCTATTCATCTGACTTTTCAGTACAATTTATTACTAATTCAAATTATGAGATAATATGAACTAATATTAGTTTTACCTCCTTTACTAAATAGATGAATAACTCCACCAATAATAATTGACTATATTTTAATGGTATCTGTTTCCTATAAGTCTGAAATACAGATCTCTTAAGGCTAAACAACAATAAAGAAAGAGAAAATACATTTCTAGCTTCATAACAGTCCTCAAGATGGGGTGAGCTTGTTGGTTTGAGTATTATCATTCTATGGTCTAATTCTAGGCATTGAATGATCTCCTTCTGGATCATTTAACTTTGTTCTGCTCCATTTCAAAAGAATGTGCCCTTAAACCTGTCTATCTTTCAAATACCTGTCATTGGTTAGAAGGAAAGTGAGGGAAGACAGTGGACAGTTTCATAGAAAAATACACAACTATTCAATGTAACAAAAACTTAAAAGAACTCTATGCCAGAAACACAAAACCATGAACCAAAGTTCAAAGGTGTTGCAATTTATTGGAGATCAATATGAAAAGAGAAATAATAGCTTAGTGTGGTGAACATAACAGAAATATATATCCAAAGCACAGAATAGTGAGGACCATCTGATGGGAAAGTAGGGAAGAAGAGTATATTTATGAATTTAAGAGTATTCTAAATGATAAATGAGTTCATCAGATTTAGAGGGTATTGGGAGAGGTGAATTCTGAGCAGGAAGAGTAGCATGCTCGAAAAGTGCATGGAAGTGTGCACATCAGAAAACTGTAACCATAGCATTTTAGTATTGATGGAATGCACATTTTGAGGAGAAGGAGAGACTCAATCCTACTGAGGCTGTTTTTAATTTTGGAGGTACAAACACAGCAACATTATGGTGACAATGCATATTGAACTAAGGAAGCTCTTAAAGAGGTTGAAACAGGTCAATAATATCCCCCAGCTTATGGTTTTCTTCTTAATCTGGTTACTTTGCAGGGAAACAAGTCTATTCTGGTAACCTGGAGACAGTGCATGTAACCACATAGACTACACAGGCAATGCTTGACCACCATCTGATGCAAGTTTTGGTGAAATGCCCTGCAAATACTGATACATGCTAGACCATTTCTCATCTGTAGTCCTAGCTTTAGGAGCATGCAGATCTATCTTGCCCCCATTTTAAGATACAGCTTCGGGTTTCTCTGTGAGTCTATTAAACTGCTACGTAACATACTTTGTGGATTCACTTGGGCTCACTGTCTCCTCACTGGCCGAATCTATGGAAGTGTGGCAAGTAAACATAGCAGCTGCCACCACAGCATAGTTTATGGGCTGCTTGATCACTTTACAGATTTAATAGTTAGTCCTAAGGTCCATG